AATTCTGGCCAATGTAACATGTATGAATTAATATCTCATGTATGTTTATTTGAATACTCTTGATTATTAATGCATATTAATTATGAGTATAATTATATATAATAATGAGCATTAATAATAACAAGGAGTATTAATATTGAGTATCTCATATATTTATTGATCGATCATTTCAGTTTCATTTTCTGTGAATGGTCTATTCAAATTGTTGCCCATTTTTCTACTGCACTGTCTTATAACTAATTTAGCACTTCTAATTAATTTAATAGCTGTAACACAGACATATATAGTGGATATTAAGCAACTATTAACAATATACTACAAGTATCTTTTCCAAATCTGTAGGTTGTCTTAACTTTTAAAAAGAGCATTTTAACACACAGAAGTCTTTACTTTTTGTGTAGTCATATGTACAAATATGTTTTCATTGCTTTTGTTTTTCTAAGTCTTAAGAAATTCTCTACTCACATGTCATAAAGGTTATTTTCCACATCCAAAAATTAAGATCTTGTCTCTCAAATTTTCACTTTAATCTATCTGAAACTGATTTTTGTGGCTGGATTGAGGTGAAGAACACACACACAAACATCCATGTCACACCACTCCACACATACCCATACATCCACACACACTCTAACACCTCTCACTCACTACCCCCCACACCCTCAGTACCATTATTGATGCATTTCTGTTATTCCTAATTACCTGAATCACTTCATTTATTATACAACAAGTTATCACAAAACCCAGAAATTGCAGTTTCTGGAGTCTGTTTTCTATTCCACTCTCCTACCGATGCCTTTTTATCTCGGAGAACACAGTCATCAAAGCTACAACTTAACTCTTTCCACTCAATTTTTAATCTTTTATGTGGTATTTTAAAGAACAATGTGTGCATTTCAATACTTGTACTGTGCATTCTAGGTTTTAACTATTCTTTCTATAAAACATTTAAATATAAGTTCCTTAGAGAACAGAGGCTATGTTTAATGTAAGTCTCTGTACGTACAGAGACTCAGGTACTCAAGGAGTTCTTAATTTATGTAGGAAAAAAATTGTTTAAGCACTTCAGTTTATTATGCAGGCTTTGGTAATAAAAACCAGACAAACATGTAATTTTGTCACATTGCTACCACTAATAACAAAAATACAACATTAAGTATGGTCTTGTTCATCTGTCTACCTCATCTCTTGCAGGCAACATCAATCTCAATAGGGAATCAAAACCTCAGAGGACTCGGGGCAGAAAGGTAGCAATTATTGTGTGAGGCCTACTATGATACTACATGGATTTGTGGAAATTATGGGCAACTGGAAAATGCCTAACTAAAGTCATGCAATTCAATAGACAAAAAGCCCTATGTTGACCAAGTAAAACAAATGGTCATGTTCCATTGGACTTAGTTTGAGATTTCTAGTCATCTAAATATATACTACAGAGTGAAAGACTAAACCAACCTCACAAAAAATGTAGAACTTAAATGTCTCCCTGGGCATATTTGCTCATGTGCACTACTTTCAACAATATGCTACAATTAGTTTGTGCTAATCAGATTTTATTTCCGCCAGATGCCCTGTTCATCTCCACTACAGCCTTGGCTAAGATGTTTAAAATCTATTCCCTATTCTGCTAAATGGGATAATAATACTTACTTCATAGAGTGAATATCAAATGATTTAATGATTAATATGTGATGTGCTCAGGACAAAGCTCTAATACTGAGTGATCACTTAATTATCACTGATACTGCCATCATTTAAAACACATTAAGAAATATTTATAACATATTTGAATAACTTGTTTCTAAGCATTTTTAGATTTCAATAAATAGATCAGTATTGATAAAACTTAGAGCTTACATTAAATTTTGTTATTTACTCTGACAAGGATCCAGAAAATGCATTTTGTTTCCCAAATTTGACTATTCATAAAGCTTTCCCTAAATGTCAGATTAAATGGGTCTGGTAAACATATACACCTCTATGGAAATTCTATTATTTGTCTCCTGGAGGTAGAATTTCTGAGCTAAGCATATCTTTAAAAGGTTAAAGAAGTAAACTAATTAATTAATTAAAATGAAAGTCTTCAGGGTTTTAAACATATTTATATTAGCAATTATGGATGCAACTTGACAAACTGAGTTCTTAGAATTAATTAAAAAAAATGAAAGCTATCAACTCTTGAGTCAGACAAGTGCGTCTTTAGACACAAGTTAATCAGAGTTTTACTTTCACCCTAGAGCTTTGACCCAAATCTTTACTTATTAAAACTTTTGGTAATATTTTTCATTATTGGCCATGTTTACAGGGATGTACAAATGCAATATAGCTGTGGCCACACCAAACATGATGGATCCAAATAAAAGTCGACAGACTTAGCAAGCTAAATGCCCAAAAGGTATCATTATATAGATTTCTCAAAAATTATCTGGAGTTCCTGTTTCAGGAAAGCTCAGTTGTGGTTGTTGTAATGTATTGTAAATGTAGGGTGGTATATTTCAAAGCTCATTAGACAAGAGCAATATAAAACATATTTCAAATTTGCTTATAGTTACCGCCTCTCAAAAGAGAATGGCAGATATATTCAGACACAATTTAGGCATTCTGGTACATTTCCAAACAGTACCAGCAGCAGCTGTATAACACCAAGATAATCCAGTTCAACCAGATAGATTAGGGAGGGAGCATCTAGCTGGAATGAAAATAAATCTCTTTCTGTATCTCCAAATGCATATGTAAGGAGTTTGACTGTATTCAAGTGTTTAGAATTCCTTTTCACTTTCATAGCTCTGTAAGTATTAGGCCTGAGGCAACTAGAAAGAAATGTGTTAACAAAAAGATCTGCAATCAGTTTAGTTCTACTTATGCTCATGAAAGATTAGCTACTAAAGAAACCACTATTATCATAACAACTGAAAAACAGACAATATATGCAAGTTTTCATCTTTGATGGTGAAGAGAAAGAAGTTAATGAGGTAAACCTACATAACTGCTTGAAGGAAATTTCTAAGCCCTGGTAGTGCAAGAAGGTACATGAGCAGACTTTGGAAGTCATCTGTATTGAGTTAAAGAGGGAGTGTGGTAAGGCTGAGGGGCCAGAATATATGGAGCAAAGTAAAACAGAGGAGAAAGCGGTACAAAGATAGAGTGTGAGGCATGCAAAGAAGTACCAGCTTTTAACTGGTGGATACACTGGAAATTATCCAGTGCATGAGAAAGAACCATCAAAAAACTCCTAGCTCACACTGGGCTAGGAATTGTCAGTAAGAAAGGAAAGACTTGGGCCTCCCTGGTGGCGCAAGAGGTTAAGCACTGCGCTATGAAGCAATCCGCAGCCTCTGTAGCATGAGTTCGATCTCTGGCCAGCCAGAAAGAAACCCGCATGGCGCAGCAGACCTCTCCTGACTCACCCGCTGCTCCCTTCAGCAGTGTATTTCAGTCAGTCTGCCTGTTCTGTTCCCCACTCTGTCTCTGGTGAATCCTCTCACCCCCCACATCTTTGGCCTGTACCCCAGCTCTTGTATGCATAAATAAAAATAAATCTTAAGAATAAAATAAAGAAAGAAAGGAAAGACTTGGACTACCACGCCACTTACTAAAGAAGAGTAACCATACTTTATTAATGGAACTGAATAAGCCCTAGGATAATATTCTCTTGACACAATGCAACAAAAGTAAAGACAAATTTCTGATTCAGTTAATTTGCAAGCTACTGATATGCACAATAGAGTAAAATACAACCGTCTTTAAAAGAATATACATAAATCCAGTCTTGAAAGATGGAAAAGTATAGTTTCTAATGTTCAAATAAAAATGACTAAGAGTGCAAAGAAAAGGAAAAGTATGGCCTATAGTCAGCAGAAAAATTAATATAAGTAGGCTCAAGGATATTAAGGAAAATGCAAACATAAGGGTAGAAATGGAAAATAAATTCACACTGCAGAAATAAAAAAATAACAGGGTAAACTTAAAGACATACCAATAAAATTATTAAAGTACTGAAAAAATAAAAAAGAGTTGGGAAAAATTAATAGAGTCTCAATGAATCTTTTGTGCCATATCAAGTGGCCTACCATGGAAAACTGAAGTCCTAAGAAGAGGAGTGGGTGTTTTAGAAATAACAGCTAAACAAATTTTCCAAATTGGTGAAAAATATAAACTGATGAATGCAAGAACTTCAACAAACACTAGACCTGAAAAAAAAAATGCCTTAAGACACCTCATAATAAACCTGCTGAAAAAGAGAAAAGAAAAATCTTTAAAGAAGTTGTACAGTGGCGCAAAAATAAAAAAGATAACAGACCTTTTGTATGAAATTATATAGATCAGGGAACACTAGAACAACATTCTAAAATAACTGGAAACAAATGCCTAAGAATTCTGTAAGTAGTGAACATTCCTAAAATTTAAATGCAATGCAGATTTTTTTAAACCAATAAAACACAAGGACATTTCTTGTCAGTAAATAAATAAAAGATATATTGAAGGATGTCAGTTAGCAGCAAGAAAAATGACTACCCTTCCACCTGTGCTTGGATCTCGACTCCCCTCACCACCACCCACACAGTTTGCCTGTGGGATGATACACTACTATTTTATGTATTATAAATTCAACGTTTCCCTCAACCACCAAAAATGAAAACAGGGACTTTCCTATCCTATTCAGTCCATTATTTTTTTGGTTTTTTCCCACTCCATTATTTTTGATGCCTGCCATACTCAGGTACTCAAAATTATTTGTTCAAGTTGGGAATAAATAAAGGTTGGAAATGTATAATATGTAAGAACACTTCCATCTTGAAAGTTCTATAATTTCATTTGGAGAAAATCAGGTGCGACAATGAACTTCTGACTTAGGGTTAGAGGTTTATCAAACTTCAACAACAGGTATCTAGATGAACATAATATTTGTCATCCTTGACTTTACTTCAGATAAAGTCACTTTATACTTAAGGCTAAAGATGAAATAAATAAAATAGGAAATGACAACAAATGATTCTTACTCTTTTTCCCATCCATATCTGCATGGATTTTCCGAGCCAAGAATCCACTCTTGTACACAGCAGCATTTGGATCATGAGGAATGTCCAAGAATGGGTTGGTAGTGCTCCCAATGCGAGTGAGGGTCTTTGGATGTGTTCCATTAGCCTTCTCATCAGTACCTTCTGATGGGGATTTTTTTTTCTCTTCATCATCTCTAAAGGGAGAAACACAAAGATTGAGCACCTATCACAATAGTTTTTTAGTGTAACGACCATGTTTTCCAATGGTCTATCTTGATAACAATAACTCTGTAAGGGCCTCCTTTTTTTTTTTTTTAAAGTAAGGGTCTCCCATATATCAAGTGTTAATGTACAAAGTAAGACTTCTACCAGTATCCTGCATAATAGATAAGGAAACAGAATTTAAATAAATACCAGTGGCCACAGATTCAAGGAAGATTAATTAAAGGAAGAGAAAGTAAAGACATGACTGTAAAATCTTTAAAGCTTTGGCTCTTTGCACCCACTATAAAGCCTTCATGACTGTCTTTTAAACAAATGGGGGTTCTTTGGCAAAGGATCATGATTTTGATTTTTGACCATTTTTGCAGAATCTAGCATAATGCCAAGAAAACAACCAATAATTACATATTTAGCCCATGAAAAATATAGACTACACCTGCCAAGTAACCAAGTTAATCTCTAATATCAAAATTCCAGGTAAAACCACCACTGGGTTAGAATGGTGGTGCCATGCACAGTATTTTGGCATCTTATAGCTATCAGTCTTCCAACTGCTAAAAGTGTGGGGCATCCTATCAGTCACTGAGAAAAATTGCCAAGCCCTCTTTATTCCCTGTTCCTTCAGGGACAAATTTATGAGACAAATTTATCTGAGGTTACAACATAAAGTATAAAGCAGGCAGAAAATGTATAGTCAGATTCAGTTAATAAAGAGGAGAGAAGAACAAAGCAAAGTTAATAAGCTCTGCTATACTCTTGGAAAACACAATAATAAAAGCATTTGTCTTAGTTGACCTATTTTAATTTCCTAAATCACTTCTGGTTTCTTTATTAAAATTTGATCATTGAATCTTTTCATTAAAACTTCAACAAAGAAAATCACCACAAAAATATATTTAAAATAAATTATAAATTGACAATTGTCAGAAGAGTTTGTTGATCAGAGAAAAACACTTTTTTCCTTCCATTAGTATTTGATAAGTTATTGTGAAATATATGAAAATAACACTAGACGCTTAGTCATCTACATTTTACTTTTATGATAATTTTAGACTTGCAAAGATAGTACACAGAGTTCCCATATGCCCATCATCCAGTTTCCCGATGTTAACATCTTATATAACCATAGCAAAAAATTCAAATGAAGAAAACAGTACAGTACTACATTTAAACTTCAGACTTCATTCAGATTTCACCAGTGTTTTCATTAAAGTTTGTTTCTCTTCCAGGATCCCACCCAGGACCGCGCTGTACATTCTATTGTCATGTTTCCTTTAATCTCCTCCAGTCAGTGACGGTTCCTTTTAGTCTTGTACTTTGTGACCTTGACATGTTGAGGAGTATGGGTGGGTTATTTTGTACAATATTCCCCATTTAGGCATGTTTGATGTTTTCTCATGTTTAGATTAAGGTTACGAATTTTTGGAAAAGATACTGTAGGTGGGGCACTCTCTCAGGGATCAGATAAGGGAGTGCATGTTTTATTACTATTATCAGTGACATTAACCTTGATAGCTTGATTAAGGTAGATATAGCCCAAGTTTCTATACTGTAAAGTTACTATTTTCCTTTGTAAATAATTTGGACACAATATTTTGTGACAATGCAACTGTCCTGCTTCTCAAACTTTTGGCCATGAATTTTAGCATTCATCAGTGGATCTGTCTTTGACAATTATTACTATGATAATTTAATGGGAAACTTTTATTTTCATAAGTTCTTCTACATTATAAGTTGGAATTCTGTAATTATGGTCTCACAGATATTTATTTTATGTTTTGACTATAATCAAACACTATCCATATTGACATTTCTCAAAATTTTCTAGCTTTGGTCATTGGGTGTTGTATCCAACAGACTCCTCTGTTGCTTTAACACATCTTATCCTTTTGCTTTGTACGTATTTTGTTTTGTGAGTATTTCTTTCCTTCAGGAATCAGATGTTTTAGAGTTTATCTTGTATTTTCCTTACTCCAGCCCTGGAAGCAACCATTTCTTAAAGTGTATGATTAATGTTATTGGAAAATGGCAGTTAGACACCAAATCGAAGGGCTCGGTGTGCTCTATTATCTCTAATATATTTATTTGTTCAATCCTAGTAAGCATATAGACTAATTTCAGAATTTTCTACCTAAATCCATGTGAGAAATTTATTTACTAGAGTGACTTAACAGTATGCAGTCAAACACCCTTTTCCACAGTTGCTCAGTTCCTTCCTCACTCTCTTCACAATATTTTAAGTAATTCATTTGCAAAATAATTATAGTCTATATTCTTTTTTGCATTCCCCATGTCCTGGCTGATTTTTGGTTAAAAATTTTTTTTCCCTTGGTTTGTGCAGTTCTATGGGATTAGATAAGGCAGATCTACTACCACAACAAAGAGAACATTGATCACCTCTAATTTCCTTCCTGCTGCCCTTTTAAAGTCAGTTCCTCTCAAGTACCAATTCCTGACAAATACTCACCTGCCTTCTAGCCCGACAATTTTCCCTTCTTCAGAGTAGCATATAATTGATTTCTTTTAATATATGGCTCACAGAAATTAATGTGATGGAGAATAGTGTTCATAATTTGATACTATATGGTTAAAAATTATAAAAAATATCTACATAGAATATGCCTGGAAGAAGAGAAAAATGGACAAGGTTGTATCTGGGGAATTAGTGGATGGCTAAAGTAGAGCAGGAGAGGGACTTGTTTTTCATCGTTTAGTCTTCATTTTTTTTTTTTTTTAATATACATAAAGTGCATGCATTGATGTTTCCCCAAAAGTAATTAGTCAAAACCAATAACTGAAAAAATAAGTACTTATCTAAAATAAATGAATGAGTTATTGGTGTCTTTTCCTTGGAAAATATAAGATTCACTCATATCATGCAAATCAATAGTTTGCTCCCTTTTACTGCCTGGTTAAGCCATTTTATGGTTACACCAATTTATTTATCCATTTGCCTCCCCTAGCTTTATTATTAAGATACAATTATATATGGTAAAATATTTACTACACCAAGTTGATTAGCACATCCACGGCCTCACATATTTACTCCTTTTATTGATATATGATGACATTTAGATCATTTTCTTAGCAAATTTCACTTATACAATGCAGTGTAATCAACTCTAGCCATCATGTTATAAATTAGATTTTTAGACCATATTCATGTTATAACTTAGAGTTTGTACCTTTTTATTAACCTCACCCTATTTGCCCCTATTTGCCCCTCAGGCTGACAACCACTTTTCTGTTTCTATGAGTTAAAAATTAAGGGAAAAGGGCCTCCCTGGTGGCGCAGCGGTTGAGCGCTGGGTTGCGAAGCTGCCCGCAGCCTCTGCAGTGCTGGTTCAATCCCCAGCTGCTCCCCGGCCACCAGAGGAGGGTCCCACATGGCGCGCAGACCTCTCCTGCCGCCCTGCTCCCTCAGCAGTGTACTTCGGTCCTTCTGCCTGCTCTGCTCCCCGCTCTGGCTCTGGTGAATTCTCTCACCCTCCCGCGCTTCTGACTGTACCCAGTGCTTGTATTAATAAATAAATAAATCTTTTTAAAAAAAAAAAAAATTAAGGGAAAAAATTCACATTCATATCATACCATGTGGATTTATCTTTTTCTGTCTATTTCACTTAATATAATGCCTTCTAGGTTTATCTATGTTGTTGAAAAATACAGGATTTCTTTAAGTTTGCAAAATATTCAATTATACATATATACCACATCTTTATCCATTCATCTGTAAACACAGAAGTTATTTCCATACCTTGGCTATTGTAAATAATGCTATGAATATGGCAGAACATTACTTGAAATGATGATTTTGCTTCCTCTGGCTATCTATCCAGAAGTGAAACTGGTAAATTATATAGTATTTCTATTTTTAATTTCTTGAAGAACCTCCATGCTGTTTTCTATAATTGGTTATAACTAGTTTATAGTCTCATCAACAGTGCAGCATTGCTAAGATTTTTTTCTTTTGTCTTTTTGATAATAGATAATGGGTGTGAGATGTTCTCTCACTGTGGCTTTGATTTGCATTTTCCTGATGATTAGTGATGTTAAGACCATTTCATATACTTGTTGGTCATCTTTCTCTTTGGAAAAATGCCTGGTGTAGGTGATTTGAATTTTTTTCTACTGAGTTATAGGAATTCCTTATTTGTTTTGGTTTATAAACCCTGGTTTGTAATATTTTCTACTATTTCATAGGCTGACCTTTAATTTTGTTAATGATTTCCCTTGTTTTGCAGTCAAGACCAATATGAAGGAGCTATTTTCCTATATATTTTTTGTTTTCCCAAGGGATTTTATAGTTTCAGGTCTGATGTTCAAGGCTTTATTCCAATGAGCTGATTTTTGTGTATGGTGTAAGAGATGGGTGCAGTTTACCCAACATCATTTATTAAAGAAATTATCTTTTCCTCACTGTAATTCTTAGTTCCTATGTCATAAGTTAAATTACCATATATGCAAAAATTTATTTCCATGCTCTCCATTCTGTTGGCTTGATCTACCTGTATATTTTATGCCAGTATTATACTGTTTTAATTACTATAGCTTTGTAGTATGGTTTGAAATCAAAAAGCATGAAGTTCCAGGATATTGTTTCATTTCTCTTTTGAAAGATATTTGGGTTGTTTCTAGGTTCTACGTTTTGTATTGTAGTAATTTAAGTATTGTTTATTGAAGATCACTCTATTCTGTGTATCCTATATAATTTTTCATGACTGTGCAACTAATTAACTACACAAAGCAAATTTTGATATCAGCCACTTAAAATCTACTTATCTGAAGGTAATTATCTCCTCAATTTCACCTATTTACAAAGTACTTAGAAATATTAGGTACTTTTATTGTTGTCATTTCATCTTATATTGCACTTGGTAGTTATAACAAATACCAGTTATAAGGTCTTCCCTTTCATTTCTAAATTTATTTATGTCTATTTTTCATGTTATGTCTAGATAACTGGTTGTCTGTT